ATTATTTGTAAATTATGGTATTATCAGTCAACTGAAACAGATTCGTTCTGACACAAGATATCGTGAACCTGTTGCGATAACGATAACACAAGAATAATAAGTGTATTTTTGTTTTGCAACATCTGTGCATCTTGTTCGACATCTTTTATTGCGCGAGGAGACACTAGGAAATAATTTTGTCGGTTATTGCAGGTAAAGATAAGCAAGACTCAAGAAATATAGATAACTTAATCTGTAAAATGTTCACATTGTTTTTCTTTTTGTAAAATATTTGTTATTAATCTTCGGATGATGTATGTACGTTAGTATGTTTTAACAGACATTTTTCCTTGTGTCTCAAGGATGGCATTTGTTATTTGTAATTTTCTCTGCAGGCGACAAATTAGATTTGCATCAATGTCCACGATGTCTACATTGTCGTCTATGGACGAACGTATGTTGAAGGGAATACGGAAGGTGATACCGAATTTGATTAATACCAAGTACAAAGGCCAAGACGGCAGGATTGGCATTTTTGGCGGCAGTACCGAGTATACGGGAGCACCGTATTTTGCGGCTATGAGTGCACTGAGAACTGGTGCCGATCTCGTCCATGTATTTTGCGCGAGAGACGCCAGCGTTCCTATCAAGTCCTTCAGTCCAGAACCGATAGTCCATCCGGTCCTGGACCAACAGGATGCGATACAGCAAATAAAACCTTGGCTTGATCGTCTGCACGTTATTCTGATCGGACCCGGACTTGGCAGAGATGAGAAGATATTCAAAACGATTGTTGAATTAATAACAATCTGCCGAGAGGCGAGGAAGCCGTTGGTTATCGACGCCGATGGTTTGTTCCTGGTCTGTCAGAAGCCAGAAATTGTGAAGGATTATCCCGGAGTTATCCTGACGCCTAACGCAATGGAGTTCAGTCGTTTGGTCAAAGCGGTTCTGGACAGGTCAGTTTCGCCTGCTCCTGTAGTTAAAACTTCCGACATGAAGCACGTGGCGGAGGCTCTTGGGAAGAACGTGATAATTCTGCACAAGGGAGCGAAGGATGTGATCGTGGACGGTCACAAGGGTACCGAGACCGTGTCGTGTGGATTGGCTGGCTCTGGGAGGAGGTGCGGTGGACAGGGTGACCTCTTATCCGGTTCATTAGCGGTATTCTGGTGGTGGGCTATCTCTGCGGGAACCAGCGAATGCGCCTTGTCACCTTCAATAGTAGCGTGCTACGCTGCATCGAGATTAATCAGAGAATGCAATGCATCGGCCTTCAAGATAAGACAAAGAGGAATGTTGGCCTCGGATATGCTGGAACAGATACAGCCGGTTTTCAGCAAGATCTTTGAAACTCATTGCGACAAGTAACGCATAATTGCATCATTTTTTTCGCTTTCAATTACGTTGTTTCTATACAGCGCTGTTTTTTTTCTCATAAAACATTATTACATATATTAGTATTAAGTGAAAGAAATGTGGATGTGCAGTATCAATGATTATATTGCCGTTTCATTATTGTGGATTTTAGAACTTCCTCGTTTATTGGAAGAGGTCGAACTCGAAGCACTGATTCCTGAAGTGTATACATTTATATACAATTTACAAAATTTTTTTACTGATATATTACATAAATTGAAATATACGTATTTAGAAAGTTGGCTTCAGAGAAACGTATTTAGGATAATACACGCTAGTATCTAAATATATTGGTTTTGTAATTTTTGTGATTTTGTAAAAAATTTGAAAGTTTATATAAATAAATATTTATATAAAATTGTATAGTTTATTTGTTGATATATTAAATTCTTAATGTATAGAGATACATATATACACACATAAAAAGATGAACTCCATTAAAAGCGTTGATTTTTTTATTCATTGCATATACCTATTTTAAGATTTGTATGGTAAGAATAATTAGAGCCAGATCTTGCTCTTGCCGGTCTTTTTATATATACATATTGTTTATTATATCTTGTTTAAAATAAAAATTAACATCCCTAAACTAAATACATTAACTTATATGAATCCTTTCATATATTTTTAAATGACTATAATGCTCTCTCGGACATTCGCCTCGAAATTTTTGTTAGGAATAGTTTTTAAGATATTTTACAGGCACATATAGTTCCATTGCAGACAACAAGCATACTCCGTTACTTATTTTACCATACATAAGCATTCCACACAGCACACGCGCGCACACACACATATCTAGCTTTGTTACACATAATCGCGTTAAGTTATCTAAATTGTCATACACGCGTATGTATATTAAATATAGTTGATCATTATACACTGATAGTTTATGAGTATTGAAACGTACAAATGGACTGCGGCAACTTTTAGACATGCCGTTAAGAACTTTACTCGCAAATCAGAGCTCGCACCTACGATTATCACAATTAGATGGATTAAATTCGCAAGATTCGTGTGTTTCTCCACTCTCCTGCATCTCTATGACAATGCTATCCCTTGCGTGGTTTTAAAACAATTAAAACTGAACAAAAACGTCGCTAAGAATTTTATGACCTGCGAATTGCTATCGTTTACGGACAGCAGTCTCTTGTAGCACTACGTACCATGCTGTACACTGTTATAAATATATGCATGTTGTTTTTTACTTGCTCTGCCAAACAATGATACCAATCAAGATCGCCAATACGACTACCGCGATCACTATGAGAATACATTTCTTCTTGCGTAGCTTGGTCTGATACATACTCGCTTGCCTCACTTGAGAAGCGCCTTCGCTAACAGATACCTCGGTTCTCTCGACCGATGCTTCTATAGAATCAATCACTTCTCCTTGATCGTACACCAAAGCTCCAAGATCTTTGAATATCTGATTAATATCGCTAATGTTACTCTGCAAAAACAATATATGATGTAGTTTATATGTTTAAAATGTATTCGTGTATATGAATCTTTGTCAATCTCGAAAGAATTTACCTCCAATTGCCTTATACTAGCTTCCTGTTCTTCTAACATTCGCAAATTCATCTGTTCCTGCAGCTGCTCCTGTTGCTGCTTCGCATGATCGCTCCCATACGTTCTGCTGTCTTGCAGCTCGATAAGCGTATCCTGTTTCTTCTCTCCGAACGGCGCGATACCCGCACTAGCCTTAGCCTTCCTGACCATTTCTTTCTCTTTGGAGGCAGCTAGCCTTTGTACGGCCTAAATTGAATAGTAATTATTGACAACGTGTCAGATATTAAAATGCATTTACATCAATATAAATATTTACTTGAAAAGCGTTTAAAGCGGTGGTAAATTCGTCTTGAAGGCGTTCTCTCTGCATCTTCCGCTGCCTCTGTTCTCCAGGGCTCGTGGAGCCAGAGTTATTCGCTAGCATAGCCAAATCTCGAAGATGAACGCTGGTGTCCTTCGCCAGCTGCTGCGTGTAGTGCTGTATCTGATGCCTGCGAAACGACAAGTTCATGAAACTCTGATCTCCGTTCATCTAGGTATACGCTAACAGGATTTAATTCCTTTCTTCATTGTTGTATTTCGGTGATTAAGGCCACGGTCCACTTGACGCTACAAATGCTTTGAAGCATTCCTTTTCTCCTTTCTTTCAATGAAAAAAGAAGGAGAAGAAGAACGCTTTGAAGCATTTGTAGAGTCAAATGGACCGCAGCCTAAATCATGCATTAAATCGCGTCGGTAAGTCAACAGCTACAAAAGTGGAAGCGAATTAAATATCGCCTAATTAAATGAGTGTATTTCTCATAACTTACAGCTGATTCCTGAGTTCCTGAGAATCGGTGGAACTGCCCAGCTGGTTGACCATCTTCTGCATGGAAGACACTGCGAACGAATCATCGAAATAAGTATCCCGTATATTTCCCAAACCAGTTCCGATGATCGGAGAACCTACCATTTTGTGATATCTTCAGTATCGAGGTGCCAATCGTTTGGGACAACCTGCCGAAGTCCTGTTCCCGTGCGGGACCACCGTTGTGGTAGGACGAGAATCCGGCATCCATCTTTGAGCCGTCAGCTGACGTTATGTTAGCTAATTATTAAGATTATACAAATTCAATTACACGAGTAGGAGTAAATATCTTTGCAATCAATGTGTTTGCAAATCTCTCCCTGACGATTCTACGTAAATATAACGTTAGACAGAACTAACCAATTATCGATGCAAACGTAACAATCGCTCCTCGCCGTTTCTCCGCGACGAAGCTGAGGCGACGTGGTGCTCTCTTTCTTTATGAGGGTATTTAACGTGCCGCGTCACTCGGGTATTTGTTTTTCGGCTTTCTTGACACGTCCAGTACTTTGTTCTTTTATTGGGTATCAATGACCTCGTGCGATTTCCTCGCGCGATCGTTAGCGGCGTCGAGGACGAGATGAGAGATCGGCGTCTCCTGGCGCGCACTTGTCAACACAGGACGACAAGTGGGTCGATCGTTCGCGCGATGAGTCACGAAGCTAGCGTAGCAACAGACACTTCTCCCATGACACACGGCGAGATCCTCGCGTTGAATTCCTCGATGAGAGTCGCGCCGAGAGAGCTTCCTCCCGCGTTGATCGATAACGCGACACTCCGATCTCCTCGAACGAAACGTCGCGCGTACCTTATCAGAGGCCGTATCAGGCCGTATCACACCATTCACACCACTAAATTGCACCGAACAGACTGAACTGCACTAATGCACTAATCCGCACTAATCGCACCAGTCGTAATCGCCGAGCGACACACAAAGCCCGACGGAAATGACAGAAGACAGAATGCGACGGAAACGAGGCGGCGTCGGCGGCGACTGTCGCGAACACGTGACACCGTTCCGCGTCCAATAGAAAGAGTTTCTCCGCCACGTTTCCGTACATATGTGCGGACTGTGCGGACATCTCATAACCTCAAATTCGCGCGAACCTCGCCATGGATGTTGTAAAGTCAATTTTGGAAGACAACCAAGGAAAGGCAGATCTAAGTAAATCCACGAAGGTGCACAAGGATGTGGAGCTCGACATCGATCTGGGGACCCTACTCGCGTCCGACTATAACCCTCTGGACGCGAAGACTCTCAAGTAACTACCTTGTACATGTGTTTAATAGCTCTGTAAGAAAACCTTCTGAATTTGTCTTAAAAATGCTTACAATACTTGTATTTACAGATCGAAGTCAGAGACATATTTAAGAAACCTGACCAGAGACAACGTACAGTTGCTGATCAATGAGATCTGGCAACTGCCAGTGGAACGGGTGGACGAGGCTATAGTGGCTACATTGCCCAAGCCTGAGTATATATTGCCACGCTCGCGCGTAATTCCGAAGCCCAAGCCTTTGACAAAGTGGCAGCTGTTTGCCAAGGAAAAGGGAATACAAACCAAGAAGAAGGGTAAATCTAAATTGAAATGGGACGAGGAATTGAAGGCAAGATTTGTTTTAAGAACTATTCAGTTTTGTTCAATTAAATTAAATTGAATGAAGAGGCTTGTAATGAATAATCTTTCAGTTTACTTGATTTCTTTTTAAAATATGTTTTTAGAAATGGATTCCCACGCACGGTTATAAACGAGCGAAGGCTGAGGAGCAGAAGGAATGGTTGGTAGAGGCCAAAGGCAATGGTGACTCGACCGAAGATCCGTTTTCTAAAACCAAATCGGCTAAGCAGGAAAGGCAGTCCAAAAACGAATTGCAGAGGCTTCGCAATATAGCCAAATCGAAAAACGTCAAATTACCAAGAGTTGGTTTACCTACCAGAGAACACTTTTCGAATTCTCAACAGCTTTCTGAAGCTCTAACTGTAGCGCGTACGTCGACAGCATCTGTTGGAAAATTCCAGTCTAGGTAAGCTCTTTAGATATTGCGACTTGTCTGCCATAAAATCTTTGCTTTTTAAACAAAACTATACGATTTCTATAGGTTGCCGAAAGAAAAGGATGCAAAGGGAATTGCCAAGGAGATGTCAGGAATGAAGAGGAAGAGGAAAGCACCTCCGTTAAATCCTATCGAAGAGAAACGTCAAAATAAAGGCCTGATAGACAGCGTTTTGAAAAGCAGTACGAAGATTCTGCGCGATGACTGCTCGACGGGAATTGCAGAGTAAATTTTTACTTGCGCAGATTTAATTCAAACGCATTATATGCAACATGATAATGACGCGATATTTCTTTACGTGTGTTGCAGGATAAAGCAGTCCGCGGCAAGCGGCAGTAAAAAGAGGAAAGGCGCGCTAAAGAACAACAAAAGTAAAACCGCTAAAAAGCCAAAGGCGGGGAAGAAAGAGCGGAATTTGCACAAGAAAGTTGGCGGTAGAAAGCGACGATAAATTAAGATGTCTGTAATAATATCCGTAGCAATAAGTCGAATTTGATGTGCAAGTTTTAAATGCGTTCAATTTTCTATGTAAAAAGATTTTAATAAAATCGAAAATAATGTTGAGAAAACATCACGCTTTTTCGCGCATTATAATTATACATAGAATTGTGATACTCCTCTAATTGTGACACCTCTAATTGTGCTTAAAGATTGTTTCGACTACCTAAAAAGCCTTCTATTTTCGAATTCTTTACAAATTCTTGAGTTTCAGTAATTTTCTTAGCACTCCAAGTGGCTCGTTCGCTTCATAAAAGCAATAATGTTAATCCATTGTCTCATTGAACCTGGTCTACTCGCATATAAGATATGACGTCATTACGCTTGCTACTAATGAAAATGCGTCGTTAGATTAGGATCAGGGATTTAAATTGTAGCATTTTTTAATCAAATATATTTTGTCTTTAAATAATATAAAATTCAAAAAATAATAATTTTTTGATAAAAAATAAATTTATTTCCCCGATAAATAAAAAAATGTTACATTTAAGAAAAATGTTAAAACCGAATTGCCCCTCTTGACGTATGAAACGAAGTGCCCTACGGGTTCTTCTTATCTTTGACTTTCCTTGTCGGGGTAGCATATGCTAGTTTATTGATCCTCCTCTTTCGCTTGTGAAGATTTTATCGTAACAGACTGAACAACGTTATGCTTTAAAATTAAGCTTAATAGTGATATGTGTCTTGTATTATTATAAATTTACTTATCTAAGAGATAAATTTTCCAAATTTATATTTTTGATCTCTGAACGTTTTTATTAATGACACATATATTTAATATTTTTACAAGACTAACGATAGTTTACTTTCGTACAAGTAACTTTTTTTTTCCTAACAAATTGTCTTATAAACATAAACTTATTCAATTTACATTTATATTATTGTTACTAACATTAACATTAGTATTGCTCATAATCCAATTACATAATCCGATACAGTATACTTTAAAGTTAATGTTTCCAAAGAGATCATAAATGTAGGCCAAAAAACTGTCCCATTTGAGGACGGTCTGTCATTTTTTGGCGCATTGACAATCTTATTGGTTTCCGTCGTTTCCTCGTAAAATTCCTCGTTACTTGTGTGTGGATTCAAATTACCCGAATGGGTGTATACAGGTGATTACCCTGAATCACCCGATTAATCTGAATCCACATAGAAATAACGAGGAATTTTACGAGGGAACGACGGAAACCAATAAAGTTGGGATTGTTAGTGAAAATGTTCCAGTGTGTTTATATATCTCCCCTCGTAGGGCACATGAGGAAAAAATAAATACACTTTTCTTTTTATAAATCGACCCCAAGGTATCGATCAAGTCTACTTAGAACTTAATCCGTTCACTCGTTATTGAGATCTCAACATCTCGAGTACTCGCAACTCGTCACGTCGCGTAAAAAAGTTGTGCGGTCTCGCTTCGCGTACGTACTTGGAGCGAGACATTGCACTATACCGTGTCTCTTGATTCCATGATGAAACTTTATGATTTTGGATATGCAATCCGAATATTATCGGTTTTTATTTAATCGTAAAACTATCTTTTTATTAATTAACTTATCTAAAGAATATACAGAATGTTTTAGATTTAAACTTATTATTATATATACACTAATTATTATTATTCAATTTATATTTATCCCTCGGATAACACACAGTCAATTTGACCTTTCTTTCTTGATTCCACTACATTTCAAGAATGTACACGTAAATTTTTAGCCAGAAATATTAAAAATAAAAAAAATAAAATTTTTGCCGTAAATTTTTCTGAATAAAAGAGATATAACGAGAATAAATAAGATATTGTGTTAGGTGTCATAAAAAGAAAAATATCTGTAGATAGGGAAAAATTATTAATTAGTTAGGATGTCTGTTGTCATATATCCATTTATTCCTTTCCTACATATTTATCCAAGATTAAATATTATATAAATCGATGCAAAGAAGTAATATATATAGACATATTTAAAAAATGTCAATATGCATAAATATAAAAGCATAAATAAAAGGGATAAAAAATATTTTGGTTTTATTATTATGCAATTTATTTTATAGAAAATGTGATAATGGTTATTACTAAAACTTATTTTAACAAAAAGCATCGATTTTACCCTAACTTTTGTAGCCTATCCATCTAGTTTGGATTGAAAAATTGGCTTTATGCCAGTCAAGTAATATATGACGTGAGATTCGAAATATTCTTGAGAAACGCTGAAACTTATTTTTAAATTATTTTAGAATTTATCACATGGCACAATTATACATTCAACTTTGCAATAATATATATGACTATTTATAATATTATATAAAAAATAATTTTAGTAGAAAATGAAAAATATAATGAGATATATTTATACCGATATGTATAAGTTTATATAAAAATTTGCATATATTATTCAATTAAGAACGCGATTATTGATTAATTGTAATATCTGTTACTTTTTTTCGGCTATCACGTCATTTATTCTGTAGATCTTACTTGATATATTTTCAAGATGCGTGCCGCATGAACAACATGCACAATCACGCATCTTTGTATTTAATTCGCGATCGGTTTCCGCGGTTGGATTTCGCGGTCAGTTTTTACATCAAGACATTTTCTCTTATTTTAATTTTTTAATTTTGTTTACATAAATTATAATTTTTCGCGGAGTATAATTGAGATTAATATTTATAATGCGAAGTAAAATTTTTTCTATATTGAAACGAAGTGTAAACTTATATGTATACACTTATTATTATATAATCATTTTCCCATTTATATTTAAATATTTATATGTACATTACTCAAATTATTATTACTTATACTGATATTATTATTAAAATTGCTCATGAACCAATTACATCCC